GCTCTTGCTCATATGTTGTTTCATGAAATTCTTCTTTGTCTTCCAATTCCTTTCGATACAGTGACTCAGTATATTCTTTCCATCTTCTTTTAATAATCTTCTTTTGTACTTGTTAGGAAGGTTAAATGGGTAAAATGCTTACTGGAGTCCCTCGGTGGTGGTATGTGTAACAGAAGGAAACAGTGCCTAGTTCTGTGCTACCTTCATGTTCATGGTGTGTCTTTGTTCCTTGTTCTAGCTATGATGTCTTTTTCCATCTCCTTGCCAGCTTCCTGCCTTTTTATTAGCACTCTATCAAGCATGATGTCCTTTTCTAGTGATCAGTCATTCTTTATGTCATATCCAGAGTAAGCAAGTCACAATCTCACCATCTTCACTTCTAAGGCACATGGTCTTAGCTGGAGCTCTGGTGGCCTAATGGTGAGGAGCTGCACTTCCCCCTGAAGGCACTGGCTTCAAATTCACCAGCTGCTCTGTGGGAAAAAAGATGGGCAGTCTCCTCTCGTGCAGTTACTGCCTCTGAAAACTCCTTAGAGGTTCAGTGATGAGTTCATTTAGACGTTAGTACACTATCTACTGCTATAACAAATATTACACATAGATGGCTTTAACGTAACATTTCTTCTCCAGTAGTTCAGGATGATAGAAGTCTGAATTCATATGTCAGCTCTAGGAGAAAGCTTGCTTTCTTTGCTGGCTCTGGGGAGATGTCTACTTTTTTTTTTTTAATATTGTAATTTATTTATTTTTCATTTCAATGAACATCTACAGAGATTTTGGAATTCCATTCATTCATTGTTGCACCCTTCTCCCCGCCCACCCCTCACCCCCCCTGTTTGCTCCTCTCCTTGAAAAGCAAAAGAAAACCTCCCTCGTTGGTACACAATCCCCCCTGCACCTTCCCCAATCCCACCCCCAACCCCAAACTGAATGAAATATGTTTACGGCATTGAAGTCTATTATGGGGGAGAGAATAGTTTAAAAGTATTTTGGGGCATTATGTTTATCGTAGGAGTGCGCAATGAGGGTTGCAGAGTGGATTATATTTGAGATGTCTACTTCTAACGTCGGTGGACCTGGTATAGTTTGATACTAATCTTCTACTGGGTCTCGGATGTTCTCAGTGTAAACACCCTCGATCAAAAGGACATACTCCACTCCTGGCTTTCCTTTCCTAGTGGCACCAAAGTCCCCTTGTCTGCTTGATTATATCTTCTTTCATCTCATGTAAGGTGATACAGGCTGCACCCAGTGAAACTCCCCTTTCATAAGACCAGGGCTGTGACCTGAGTTAGAATGCTACTTCCTACACTGATCCCCTTACAAATGTTTGATGCATCATATCACAGAATGTGATTACATCATGTCATACCTACCAAACTAAAGAGGCTTTTGCAGCATATTTATTTGCTTAGTGCAATACATTGTCTGATTTCTTGACTGTTGCTTCCATTAATGTTGATTATTGCTCAGATAAAATGGAATCCTTGATGACTTCATTTTCTTCTCCACCTGTCATGTTGTGAGTCAATTGTGAGGATTTCTGTTTCTTTGCTATTCAGCTATAATCCATTCTAAAGGTCTTTGTTTCATCAGTAAGTGCTTCACCCTGTGTTTTCAGCAAGCATGGTTCTGTCACCTGACCTCTAATCGTGCTGCTCCATTCTTTGTTCTTACTTCTTGGATTATTTTCTCAGTATACAGATTAGATAAATGGACTGAAAGGATACAACCCTGCCATACACTCTTTCCAACTCTAGGCAGTATCCCCTTCTTCTCTTCAAACAACTGTCTTGATCTCTGTATAGGTTACACATGAGCACAATTAAGTGTTCTGAAATCCTCATTCTTCACGTTATTAACCTATAATTTATTGTGAATTCACACAGTCAAATACCTTTGCACAGTCAGTAAAACACAGATAAACATCTTTCTGGAATTTTCTGCCTTCAGCCAAGATCCTGTCAGCAGTGATGGTCTTCATGCCACATCCCACACTGAGTCCACCTTGAACTCCTGGCAGTTCCCTGTTCATGCGTGACTACAATAATTTTTTCCTTATTGTCAAAATATTGACAGCATGTGTTATTAATGATACTGCTCAGTAATGTCCATGTTTTCTTGGGTCATTTGTTTTTGAAATGCTTGTAAATATGGATCTCTTCATGTCAGTTGCCCAGTAACTCTAGTATCTTAGCATAAACAAGTGAGCACCTCCAGTATTACATTCAGAACATCTCAGTTGCTATTCTGTCAATTCCTGGAGTCTTGTTTTTTTCCAATACTTTAATCCAGCTTGAATTCCTAACATGGTTAAATGCTGACCAGTTCTTTTTGTACAGTGATTCTGAATATCCTTTTCATTCTATTTTGATAACTTTATATATCGTTCCTATTTTTTGTTGTTAAAAATAGGGAAAAAAACCTCAAACTCACTGCTATCAAGTTGGCTCTGATTCATAGTGATCTTCTCTCAGGCTTCAGAGGCTATATAGAGTTTTACAGGCGGCGGCTTCTCATCTTTCTTTGAAGGAGCAGCTAGTAGATTCAGACTGCCAGAGATGTGCGACCTTTTAGTTAGCAATTCTTTAAGATTGTAAATTGAGGCTTGAATTTCTCTTCAGTTCTTTTAACTTGAAAAGTAGCAGGTTTTTGTCCTTTACCATTTGGTTTTCTTTGTACTCCAAGTATGTGCACATTTTGTTATAAACTTTTGTGTTCCCAAACCATCTTTGAAAACTGTCGTTCACTGCTTTTACTTTACTGCCTTCGTTTACTAAAGCTACTCTGTGTAAGAGTTCGGCTGGCATCCATTTAGATCATACTTCGGCTGTCTTCTACTTGCTTTAATCTACACATAAGCATGTGGTAGTCATTTCCCCAATCACTTGCTGGTTTTGCCTTGACTCATAATACTGAGCTTCTCCATCATCTCTTTCTATAGACGTAATCAAGTCTGTTTTGTGTGTAATTCATCCAATGAGATCCACGGGCCTAGTCATTGTTGGAGTTGGGGAAAGGAAGTATTTCTGATGAATGTCATTGGTGTTGCTGAATTATCATGTGATCTCCAGCAGTGTTGCTGTAACTAAGAGTATATTTTCTAACTACTGGTACATACTTCCCCTGTCTCTACAGCATTCCCATCACTGGTAATTCGCAGTGTGCATTTGATCACTCTGAGATTACAGCAATATGTCAGAATGTTCCATTTCTTCATGTTTGTTACATAGATTTGAGTAATCATTGTATTAACTGGTCTTTTTTTTCGGTGTATGTACTTCGCTGACAAAGTTGTACTTCAGGATAGATCTTTATGTGTGCTTTTGTTCTTTTTAGCTAACAGTACAAAATGTAATGTACCATACCAGCAACTTTTAATCTGTTGTTTTTTTTGATGATGAACACACAATCATGTCATTCCTTTCATAGTAGACCATGTGGTTGTTAGGTATAGAATGGCCAGTGTCTGCCCATTTCAGGTTGCTAATCCCTGAGATACTAGTCAGGTGTTCTAATTCATTTTTATTATTTCCAGTTTTCTTTGATTCATAGTTGTATATCCACATTCTGGTCGCTAATGGATGTTTGCAGCTGCTGCATCTCATTTTGAGTCATGCCACGTGAGCATGTGAAAATCCTGAAGGCTTTACTCTACCCACATCATTTAAGCAGCTCTTCCAGGCGTATTTGGAGCCCTACCAAGCAAGAGGCTCACTGCATTAGGCAATATTCTGTTGCACCAGTAGGACTTTGGTTGTTCGTTTTAGGAAATAGTTCACTATGCCATTCTCAAACCCATCCAGCCTGGGTGAGGTGACACTCCTAGTATTTGAAATACTGGTGGTATTACTTCCAGCATCATAGCAACATGCAAACCCACAGACCAATAACTAACTGACAGAAAGTGAAGGCAAGCTGTGCCTGACACACAGTAAATGCATATTAAATGTTAATTATTCTTTCTTCTAAACTCTTTCCTATAGTATGTGTAGAACAGGCTTTTAGTTCTCTTTCTTTTTTTGCAAAATGAATATGTTAAAGTATCAATAGTATAATTGGCTATTAGTCAGCCAGTATTAAGTCTAGAAAAGGGAGTTTAATTCACAATAGCTTAGCCATTTGCCCTCAGCCTTCTCCTGTCAGAGCAAAAGGGGAAATCTTGGCCCACTGCTCACAAGCCATCCTGACCTCACCACGCCTGCCATTTGTATATATTTCATTTTGCTTAAGAGACAAACTTTCCCCCTCCCCCCCAGAAAAAGTTAATCATCTGCAGAATGTCAGTGTTAAGTTTGGATTGTCAAGGATGCATTACCATTAAATTGTAGATAAGATTTAAAAATAAATTTAAAAAAATAGTAGATATGAAAGAGCTTCTGTGCTAACCAGTTTTCTATTGGTATATTTTCCCCCTGCAGAAACCAGTGATGGCGTGTCTTTGCAACTGGGGAACACAAAAGATTTTATTATTTCATTTGATCTCAAGTTTTTGACCAATGGGAGTGTGTCTGTGGTTCTCGAGACCACAGAAAAGAATCAACTCTTCACTGTACACTATGTCTCAAATACCCAGCTAATTGCTTTCAAAGAGCGAGACATCTACTACGGCATTGGACCCAGAACTTCATGGAGCACAGTTACCAGGGACTTGGTCACTGACCTAAGGAAAGGAGTGGGTCTTTCGAACACAAAAGCTGTCAAGCCAACCAAAATAATGCCCAAGAAGGTGGTTAAGTTGATTGCGAAAGGGAAAGGATTCCTCGACAACATTACCATCTCTACCACGGCGCACATGGCCGCGTTCTTCGCTGCCAGTGATTGGCTGGTAAGGAACCAGGATGAGAAAGGTGGCTGGCCAATCATGGTGACCCGGAAGTTAGGGGAAGGGTTCAAGTCTTTAGAGCCGGGGTGGTACTCTGCGATGGCCCAAGGGCAAGCCATTTCTACGTTAGTCAGGGCCTATCTGCTAACAAAAGACCATATATTCCTCAATTCAGCTTTAAGGGCAACAGCCCCTTACAAGTTTCTCTCAGAGCAGCATGGAGTTAAAGCTGTGTTTATGAATAAACATGACTGGTATGAAGAATACCCAACCACACCTAGCTCCTTTGTTTTAAATGGCTTTATGTATTCCTTAATTGGGCTCTATGACTTAAAGGAAACTGCAGGGGAAAAACTTGGGAAAGAAGCAAGGGCCTTGTATGAGCGTGGCATGGAGTCCCTCAAAGCCATGCTCCCCTTGTATGACACTGGCTCAGGGACCATCTACGACCTCCGTCACTTCATGCTGGGCATCGCCCCCAACCTGGCTCGCTGGGACTACCACACCACCCACATCAACCAGCTGCAGCTCCTCAGTACCATTGATGAGTCCCCGGTCTTCAGAGAGTTTGTCAAGAGGTGGAAGAGCTACCTGAAAGGCAGCAGGGCAAAGCACAACTAGAGTTCCCAACCAAATCATCTCAGCCCTGCTGGCCCCCGGACCACACGGCTCCTCAGCAGAGCCTTGGCGCGTTTTAAAAGGTTGTACGCTAGGGGTTTGTGGATTATATCGAAGTGCTAAGTGATCCTTAAAGCTGGAGAGAATTGCATTGCATTAGTCAGGTGTTTCACGATGTAGGTGGCATTTAGAGCAGGGACGCCTTCAGTCAGTGGACTGAGCAGAGGCAGTGACCTTACCTCTCGCTCTCTGGTTCCACAGCTATCCAGTCACTCTCAGTCGGGGGAAGATAATGACGAGTAGCCATACAACTTGGTATGGAGCTCTTTTAATATGTGACTATTTATATTTATGTTGAAAGCAGACTTTTTAAAAAGTAATGTGCTGTGATACAGTAAATATGTACTTGTAGCCTGGATAGTGGACTGTGCAACTCTCTTTTTTGTTTGTTTGTTGGTTTGTTTTTAAGGTGATTCTTTTCTATAGATTCATTTCTTCGGGGACAGATGAGCATTTGTTGCACTTGTTCAATTTGTTATATATGGAGAGTATTTTGAATTTATGGTTTTTTTGAAATGTGTAAATTAAAAACACAACCAGTGTTCAGGCTTCAGTTATATAATGTAAGCACAACTAAAACGATACTTGTCGACTGCACAAGAAATTACAAAGCTGTTGTCTGTTTTATGAAACTTGATCTACAATCAGTAAAGGTTTGATAATCAGTCTATCCTTCCCTCACCCCACTGCGATGGCTTGCTTTCGTCACCGTCTGGCATTTTATGTTTCATATCTGACCGCACTTGTGAGTCCATATTGGTATAACTTCATTTAGGACATTTTCTTTCATGCCTAAATGTGAGAAGGAGCTAGTAATGTCAGTAAATCTACCCTCACTCCCCTTTCAGGAGCCGCCTCAACCCCTTAAAGGAGAAATACTAGGTCAGGTATCATCTCCGGGAGTGGTTTGGTTACCTAGCACTGCTTTAACCACCTGTCATAGGTGGATGGCTTTAACAAACAGAACTGTCTTTTCTCACATTTTCGGAGCCTGGAATTCCAAGGTCAGGGAACTGCCAGCTCTAAGGGAGGACTTCCTCTCCCCGCTGATCCTGAGGAAGGGCCTGGTTTCCTCAGCATCTGGAGGCGCAGCCTTCCTTGGAGATCTTCATGTGTCTTGGCCTTCCTGGGTGGCAGGGAACTGCCCAGCCATTAGGACTTTAGTCCAAAGGACACCTGGTTCTTTTTTCTTGATGGTACTGAGGGCGCCCTTCTTTATACCTTCTCTCTCCTTTTGTCTCTTGTAAGACAAAGAAATGATTCAGGCCACATCCCAAGGACCTCCCCTTCTATCACATCAGGGCTGTGACCTCATTAAAGGTGTTGCCCCACCCCCTCCCCATCCCATGCTAACCAATTGGCTCATCACACCTCAGATCACATCGTGGAGAATGACTGTATCGTCATATAACTGCCTCACTCCTGTCACAGAGGTCAGAATGGTATCATCACATCATACTGAGTGTCACGGCCTAGCTGAGGTGACACAGTTCAACCTAAGACAAAGCAGGGTACTTGCCCTTCTTTGATCATTCTTGGTCACCACATCGGGCCTATGTGTGATTTTCTTCCTCTGTGGCTGTCATCTTACATCATTCTCCCTAAAGGATAAAAGAGATGCTTCTGCATATGTTGTACGTGTGTAATCAGGCCTTTCATTGGATCTTCTATCCTACTATACCTCACGTAATAAGTTTCATAGCCCTCATACCATAGGCAATGTCTGCTATAGGGCTTCAGACATTAGAGTAACACTGAGAGGTTTTAGTGTATGATAGCACATTAAATCAGTAATGTAACGTGAGCCCGCCCCACGTCTCCAAGGCACCAAGTCTGACATTACAGCTTAGCTGTGACCTATATCAAACACACATCAGGAAACAGGTGGCTTGCTGGCCTATATTACTGAGCCTACCACGCACTGTTTAGAATCAGAAAGGGGGAAAACAAGGATGCATGGGAGTGAAGAAGCAGCTGTAAACATACACTGAAGACAATGTTAAACTGGCCATAGCAAGTAACCTGACACTCCCAACTCCTGTGCCCACAACAAAGACAGTCGGGGTTATTAGATTTTTGTTTTCCCCTAGTTTTTGCCTTTTGTAGTTCCTCTACATGAGAAATCTCAACAAGAGTATCAGGGCTCCCTTATTTTTCTATCAATGTCAAGGCCAGCATTCAAAGATAAACTTTCTCCAATCTGGGAACCCTTTTACGTCATTATAGTTGTTTCCATTGGTCCGGACCTCTGCCTTGTGTTTGCAGACTGGTACTTCAGATTGGGGGCTCAGTAAAAAGCATGGTACTGCTTCTGTGATAAAAATCAGTGCCTTAACATGCAGCTGTCCTCATCCACTGAAGAAGGAAACACATGTAAAACTAGAAATGGCATTGCTGTTTCACTGTCGTCATTGGTTTCCACACTGCCTTCCACATTGCAACTGCAACTTGATTTACTTCTTTTTTTATCCCTCCCTCTCATGATCCTGGCATTTGTCACAGTGGTGAATTGAATCTGTAGCAGCATTATCAGTTCCAACCAGAGGGTCTCACATTTTAGGATGCCTCAGAACTACCTGAGGGGCTTCCTGAAATGCAGATCCCAGGTCCTGGTCCACCTGCCCACAAAGCTAAGACCCTGCCTTTCTCAGGAGTGCCCGCCCAGGTGTTCCTGACGCAGGTGATCTGGGGCAAACTTGGAGGAGCACTGCCTAGATTCTCCATTGCATTTTTGCTCCTACACACCTATGGAATTGTCTTAGGTTCTAAATTACATTTGCTTATTCTCGGGAGCATTTTCAGAGTTCATATTGGTTTGATGTTGTTGTTGTTTCTTTACATTTTTTCTCTTTGTTTCAAGATTTTTTTTTTATTTTATTTTTGCAGGGGATTGGTGGTGGTTGGTTCTCCCTTGCACCCACTTATCTTGACTTAGTCTTGATATTAAATTAAATTTCTTGCCACTTCAGTTGTAAAGCCAGCCTGAAGTTCCCGGATGAAGGTTAAGTTCGACCCTTTGGGACTTAACTGCAGGCTTCTTCCGGGAACCGCCTGGCGCACGCGAGCACATGCAGTGTGACCCGCCCAAGCACAACTCTCGGATGCGGCCGTCCTTTTTCTTGGTCATGTGAAAACTTTGACTGAAAGCTGCTATTTTTACCCTCCTTGTACTTGTTTCTCCTGTTTTCTCCATTGTACATGTGGGTTCTCTACCATGTGTTAAATATGCAATAAAGTGTTTACTGGATGCCCTTCTGAAGGGTAGTCCTTTGTAAAGCTGTACAGACTTTGCAGTTTAAGCACAATGTGCACACGTTAGTTTTATATACAGCAGAAGTTGATTTTTTGCAGATGGAAAGGTATTTTGTTTCTATACAAAGTAAATGGATTGTTTGTGCTTAATGTAAAGCAGCTTTATAAAATTGTAAAATAAAGTTTTTATCTTAAAAGGAATATACCTGGATAGTTGTTGTTGGTTGTTGTTTTTCTCCTTGTAAAAAAGAGTGTGGTTAGTGTGGGGACAGCCCAGTTTGACCTCCACTAACTTGGTCTCACATGTTTTGGGCAGATGAGGGGAGGCCAGTCCTTGGAAAAAGACAGCATGCTGGAAAAAGTAGAGGGTCAGCGGAAAAGAGGGGGACCATCGAGATGGAGTCAATGGATATTGTTACGATGAACTCCAGCGCTGCGGAGATGATGGGGACAGTGCAGGAGTGGGCAAGCTTCAGATCTGTTATTTGAGGGTCGCTGTGAGTCGACTCCGCAGCATCTAACAAACTCATAAGGAGCCACCATCTCCATCAGCAGCACCCGCAGCACAAAGCCTATTTCCACAGGCCCTTTGCTCCTAATTTCACCACTTCTACCCATTCCAACAGCATCTACCCTTCCTGGAGCTCTCGCTGGGTCCAGTAACCTACTGCAAATGCCACAGACAAGTCACAGAGCCATGTTGTTGTCGTCAAGTTGAGCACGACTCATAGTGACCCTATGAACAAAAGGCCTGATGCATTTCTATAACTATCGTTATTTATCAAAGGTGGTAGTGTTTCCAGAGGCACGTTGTTTAGGAAGTGGATGCCAATCCTGTGCATGATTATAGGGCTTGTTAGGGAAGTTCACAGGTTTACAATTCAGGTTGGCAACAGCATGCAATTCTTCAGGCGGACAGCTTGTCAGGCATGCTCACAAGCCAGTTACACACCTCCTGGGCCCTGACAGGGCGTCTTCCTCTGGAACTCCAGCCCTGGCTCTGGCTCTGGCTCTGGCTCTGGTGGGCTGCATTCTCAAGTCAGCTGTCTCACATCAGTCTCTGGTTCTCTAGGGCTGCCGCTGTCCTCATGTAGGTCCTGGTCCGACTGGCATAGGAACCCCTGACTCCAAAGGGCACACTGTTCTCTGTAACTTCGCTGACACTGATTCTCCTCTTAGGATAAACCTGCTCAATTTAAACTTACCAGACAAAACTGACCAGTCTGATCACAAGTTGTTGACCCATCTGTTTTTCAGGCTTCCACCCAGCTAGTCAAAGCCAATGTGCTAAGAAAACCACTTGGCTGCACCACACTTCTCTACTAAGATTGTGTGAGCCCTGCAAGGAGCTTTCCTGTCATCATTTCCTCTTCAACGTGTGACAGCTAGTGAAGCCACAGTGTTGACTAAAGGTTTTCCCGCATCCACTAGGATAAAGTCAGTCTTAACCCTAACAGCTTCATATCTGCAGAGAGGAACATAGCATACACAAGTCAATTTCACAAAAAAGAGAAAGCTAAATGATATGAGCGGGTTGCAATATTAGTCTCTTCTCAAAGAACAATAAGCATGACTTAAATCTTTTTTCCCCTCCAAAGAAGTTTCCAAAAAGTAATGATGTAGGCTCCCAAATGCACGCTGGCTTCATGTTACATTTGACTGCTCATTTGATGGATTATAAACGCTGCAAC